TCTCTCTCTCTCTCTCTCTCTCTCTCTCTCTCTCTCTCTCGTGATTATCATGATTTTCTTTTCAATATCGCTGAGGCATGAAATGCAAATAAATATTGGATGTTGTATAATTGTCCTCTGTTTAGCGCGCCGTGGGCGCGAGAGCTTCAGTTTGAATTTATTCAGGGAAATGGGTTGCCGTAACGAATTCAATTTCTTTTAAATAGTGTTATCGGGAATTATTAAAAAGGAAATTTTTAACAAATGAAGGGCAGTCCGTTTTTTGTTTTGGAAGTTCTTTCACGCACTCAAATGGCACTATCGTATCATTACAGTCTTATTATGCAGCATTTTTCTTTGTTCTGCTCGTTTAAAATTTCGCTCTTCTTTTCTGTTTACACGGGAAAAAAAACAAAGGGAGGACATAATGCCATTGAAGGGGGCGTTAAATTAGAATGCCTTTGGAACGGCATGAAAATGGCCAAAGGCATTAATTTAACACTTTTCGCTAAGTTTTAATGCCTTTCAATAATGCGGCTAATTTTTAATGCGTTTGTAAAGGCATTCAACCCCAATGTCCTGGCTTTGTTTTTTCTGTGCAGTCATGTTTTCTCACAACGCACTGGCCTATCCGTATAGGCTGATGTGTTTGTAAGAGTCATGTGTGAAACAAGCTCAGAGAAATAAAGGTAAGTACTGCAAAGAGAGCGAAACGAAGACGTTGTTTAAAAAAAGAAAATTGTTGCTGTGTTTAAGTATTTTGTGCTCTGTTAGTATAAGCTATTACGTACTGTCATTTTCTGTATATGAGCCCTAGGAAATGGTTAATGTGATGAATTTTCGGAGCCTCGTGATCGCTTCTGTCTGTGCTGTTCTGACTGTTCTGCAAAGCATATGGAGATGTATTCGTTTCTTGCAAGGGGAGCCAAGTGATCGCCATTGCACACTCTCACTCTCAGTCAGCTCGACATGTCATGGCTTCCGACTTGCTGCTCCCCTTGTTGCAACATTGCTTTCTCTTTAAGCCTATGCACTTTCTCCTCAGGGTCACCATCTTGAGAAAACAAAAACTGTCTTTGAATAATTCGTTAATGAGAAAAGTGCGCAGTAGAAAAAAAGTGTGAAGACAGGAAGCAAGCAAGATCAGGAAGCAGTGCAGTGCAGTGAATGTCCGTAAAGAACTGATGTTAGTGACCCCATGGACTAGAGTCATTGAGCCATGAGGCACACGGACAGGACTTTGTTGGTGGTGGTGGAAGGCAGCTGGGACACATACAATGGACAACACCGACTGGCAGCGGGACTCACAACGCCCACTACGGTATGGTAACTGTAGTTGTACCACGCGCGCACACATGCCACTTACACAACACACACAACACTGGGAAACACACACGCACACAGAGACTCTATACACGCACGCTGTAAACCCTCATAGTTGTTGGGCCGTTTCTAGCCGTTTCGGGAGAGGGTGAACCAACATAACGTTAAGGTCAGCGGGGTAAAAAGTTATTCTTTTCAACGCATTGTTTTCCTTTTGCATTGGGCGTTTAGGCGCGTAAAAAGCTACACTGGGTGTTCTTTTTCTTTCGTTTCATTATGTATGTGGGAAGGTCTGGGGTCCACACACGGCAAAACACACGCACTCCGGCTGTTGAGGGCTTAAGTCCAAGTTCACCCTCCCTTTCTCCATCGGGGTGACGAAATTCGCCGCATGTACTGAGGCTGCGCGCGCCGCGCCCGCGCTGCGCGCATGGCTGTGTACCTGCAGTCGGAGTCGGAGCTGGCGAGGCCGCTGCCGGGCGGCCTGGTCCCGGGGCCGGGCCCCCCTCCATAGCGTGCCGCCCCTCCCGGGCCTGCCCGGCACACCAATCACAGCGGCGCTCTGGCCCGGGCCGCGCCTGGCCCCGCCCACCAGAGCCGAGAGGACGGAGGCGGGGCGGCCGGGCGGGCGGGGAGAGCGCGCGGAGCGGAGCGGGCAGCATCAGTCAGTCCCAGCCCGGACGCAGACCGACGCGGACGGCCCCGGACGGTCTCCCCAACCACCCGCCCTCCGACAGGGCCTCAGTGTCTGCGTGTGTGACTGGACTGTAGTGTCAGTGAGTGTTGTGTGTTAGCCCGATGTGTCTAGCTATGGACGAGGGCGGACGCGTGCTGTTGGGGTACCGCATTGGCACCACGGACGGCCACAGCCCCTACCACCTCCACCACCACCACCATCACCAGCCGCTGGACCTGCGCGGACCCGCCGCCATGAGCCCCATCATCGGCGACCACCTGGGCGACCACCTGGCCGATCACCTGGGTGACCACATGGCCGACCACCTGGGTGACCACCTGGGTGACCACCTGGGCTCGGGCGACTCGGCCGGCGAAGAGGATTCGGACATCAACGTGGACTCGGACGACGGCCGCGAGGAGGCGCGCGGCGGCAGCCCCGGCAGCCCTCGCAGCCTGCGGACCCCGCACAGCCCGCGCAGCCCCAAGGAGGCCGACGAGGCCGCCGGCTCGCCCCCGCCCTCGCCGGCCTCGCACGCCTCCCACGACCTGGACACGGCCAGCCCCAACGGCAGCAGCAAGAAGTCGTCGTCGTCATCGTCGTCGTCGTCCTCGGCGCTCGTCAAGCCGCCCTACTCGTACATCGCGCTCATCACCATGTCCATTCTGCAGTCGCCGCACAAGAAGCTGACGCTGAGCGGCATCTGCGAGTTCATCATGTCGCGCTTCCCCTACTACCGAGACAAGTTCCCCGCCTGGCAGAACTCGATCCGGCACAACCTGTCCCTCAACGACTGCTTCATCAAGATCCCCCGCGAGCCGGGCAACCCCGGCAAGGGCAACTACTGGACGCTGGACCCCATGGCCGAGGACATGTTCGACAACGGCAGCTTCCTGCGGCGGCGCAAGCGCTACAAGCGGCAGCCGCCCGACTTCCACCACCACCACCATCACCACCAGCACGCGGCCGCCATGGCCGCCTTCCTGGGCGACCCGTTCCACCCGCACCACCCGCACCACCACCTGGGGCGCACCCACGGCACCCCGCCGTACCCGTACCTGTCGCCGCTGCCGCCCGGGGCCGCGCTGCCCGCCGGCCTCCAGGGCGGCCTGCAGGGCGGCCTCCCTCCCGGCGTGCCGCTGCTGCCCCCCGCCGAGCTGGCCAGGCTGTCGCTGGGTCTCAACTTCCTGGGCGCGCCCATGCCGCTGCCGCACAAGCCGGTGGCTGTGTCCGCCCCCGCGCCCCCGCAGCAGCAGAACCAGCAGCAGCAGAACCAGCATCAGCAGCAACAGCAGCCGTCCGTCCCCGCGGCCCCGGCCGTCTCCATGGCGGACACGCTGACGGCGCTGCCGAGGAGCATCTCGTCGAGGGACAAGGGCCGGGGCTTCAGCATCGAGTCCCTCATCGGGTCGCAGCAGGACGCGGCGCCGCCGCTCAAGAGGCCCGCCCTGGAGCGGCCCGGGCTCCACCACCTCCCCGCCGTCACGCGCTCCCTGGACTCGGCCTTCTCGCCCATGTCCGTGTCGGCGTGGGCGCGGTGAGAGTAGACGCCCTCTCGCACTCCTTGTGGGTGATTCTGACTGTGATGAGATATCGACGGATTGTTGTCGTTGATTCACCGGTTAACGATACCCTCATATTTCCCCCTTTTAGTGGTTCCTGTCGGTAGGCCTTGTTTTAGTTTTGCTTGTGTGCCTGAAGCCGGAAACATGGGTGAGTGGCTCTTATAGTCGTGCAATGATGGACAAAACTGGATTTGGTTGGAGTCATTTGCTTTCCTTTTCATTTAAAATTTTGATCTAGTCACCGCGACCGGTATGGTGACCTTTGTCATTCATTTGTAACTGCGTATTTTCTACCCAGATCAGTACCCAGGCGGACTCACATATCCGGAGACTAAAATTAGTTATTTGCGCCTGAGGGGAGTGATTGTAATTATTCTTAATATTCCTAAATATTCGTTAATTCTCTGTGATTTTACTATATCTTTTTCTGTTATTATTGTTGACATCGCAAGAGCGCCTAGGATTTGCGGTTCCTACGATTTCTTAGTTTATGTTACCTTTAAATTAATGTTGTTTTCTTCTCCCTGTAAGTTTTTTTTATTTTGCGAACGCGCGAGCTTTGTTGTCTTTTCGCGTTTTAGTGCATCGTAGTAATATATCGATAGCACATTGTGTTAGAGAAGGATTATGGATAATGACCATTTTCTGTATAATGTGATCGTTCCTGCGGTGGTGTAACTCTCGCCGTGCTTGTGACCAAAGATACTGTCAAAGAATGTTGATTACTAGTAATTTATTATCCGATGGATCTTATCTATGTAAAGTAAGTCTTCATTTTTTTAACTTTCCTGCTTAACTTCAAATTCCAACTGTAATGTATTCTGAATTGTCTCTTCTGCCTTTTCTCTAAAATATACTTCAAAATTGAGGTTTGAGCACACCATATTGTTGCCACAAATAATGTATTCAGCTCCCTTTCACTATACTTTGGTTTTTTGTTTTGTTATATCGCTCCACATCGGTTCTTCGTTCGCACAAACATGCCATGCTGTGAAGCAAATCTTATTGTGTACAAATGTAAGATCCAATATGTTAATTCAAATCGTGTATATTCTTGTAAATATCAAGTGTACATGAACTATATAGATATAAAAAGGATATAGGAGAGACGAAAATATTAGCGTAATAAATGAAAAAACTGTTTCCATTTCTAAATCTCTCTAGCATTTATTCATATCGATGTCCCCCTATTGCGACCACAATAGTGACTGAAGCGCGCGAACGCACCCATGCAGGCGTTTACAATGGCACCAATAATTTTGAAACGATGATGATGATGATGATGAGACAGCCACAGCCACACATATCAAGTACAAACAAACAACCATTCTCGCAATTGGCTGCGCTGATCCTTGGACCGTATCCCGCCGGCCGGACCTGGCCTGGGCCGGATCGTTGTTTTGATGGGTGGATATCGCCACGATTGAGTGAAACACAATAAACCCCTCCGGCTCGCTTCCGCTCGGCCGAGCTGAGCTGGGCCCGGGCCTTGGCCCCCCTCAGTATCGCCTCGCTCAGCGAATCACCAGCCGGCTCGGAACAAACGGCTGACACGGCGAGAAATCATCGCTCGAATAACAAGCTCCGCAAAGTCACGCCAACAATTAAATAACGACTCTGGCCAATCTGACTCGGGTGTCAAACTTGAACAAACTTTTCAAATCATATAAATTTTTTAAAAAATATTGATAAAATTTTTGCTGTCATCTGGTTGGACTAGAAAAACATTACAAAATTGGAGATCTTTTGTGGCCTGTGATAAGGACGTCACTGTTGTTCTGTTGGCCACCTGTCCTGTTGGCCTCGGTCGGCTCGACCATCCGCTTGCCGGCCGTAAGCCGCTCGTGAGTTTACATAGCAGAAGGTATACACAGCGCCTTGAGGAGGGAAGGGAAGCCCCATAAGCAGGAGAGGGGCCCCGGCCGAGGCCCTGTAGGCCGCCTGCAGGTCCTGCTGCTGCTGCCACTGCTGCTGCCGCTGCTAGGCCACGGGCGCAGACCAGGCCGCCGAGAAGCCCGACCAGTGCCCCACCTAGGTGCCGCGCCGCGCTGCCGGGGTCGGGGTGCCGTTTTCATCCGCCCTGCAGATCATTTGTTTTCGTTCTTAGACAAACTTAAGGCTGGCCATAAACGGAACAGCGCGATGCCAACGATGAGGTAAGAAAAGAGGGAAACACACATACGAAATAACAAATTTTTACGCTCTACGTTTGGTTCATTTTTCTGGTGATTTTACTGCCTATACCGTTATGTCAAGTCTAACACCTAATAGAATTGCAGGTTTGGATTCTCAAAAAAAAAAAGAGGGCCTCACTGTTGGAAATGTTACTGTAATCTGACCAAAAAAGTCCTGTTGTATTTTTTCAGTGTACTGAAAAAACGATCCCGGACCGGACACTAGAATTCTTGAAGAAAGAAACACTCTAATATCCTGATAAATTTTTGAAACTATTAAATCGTGATGTTATGGATTGTTAGATTTTTTACCACTACGAACACCATTCCGAAATTACTCGTTATTTTCAATTTGACGTGGCACACGGCACCGAGCTCGGCAAGCCAAACCCGTGTTTGTGATGTAACCTTGGTAACTATCATATATGCGGCACCCTGTACACTTTAACACGGTGCGGCACATAAACTGGGAAATTACATAACCGTGGCCCGACCACAAAGTGTTAAAATATATGGTGGAGAAAATCCTTTTGTGCAACTTGTTTAATTTTACAAAGTCTATAACAAAATCGAGTTTATTCAAAAACACGCGTAATGAAACTTAACAACACGTTATGAAAATATTATTAAATTTCATTTCAAAAATGTAATGGAGCTACTATTTTCATTACATGTAATGAAAATGTCATGAAATAATTTTAACAGTGATGTATTTGTATGTTTTGTGCAATATCGTTCGTGCTAAGTTAAACGTATGTTGCGTTTCAGACAATTTTGTGCGTAAATAAAGTTAAGAAGGAATTTTGACTTAATGTCTTAATGTAAAGTTGGCACATCTTTTATGCATTTTTTTTTTTTAAAACTTAGGAACACTAGATATTCACGAGAATACAGTTTTGTAGGTGTAACGGCTTGGAACACTCCTCCATTGCTTTAGTCACTAATTGCGCTGGCATGTTTTTTATTTTCCCCCTTTTCGGCAGTGTACTTGTACTACGCACATCCTTTAGGAAGGAGCGTGCGACATGTGTGCGCACTCCTCCGGGGCCGCCGTCACCGCGACAATCCTGCAATTAACGTCGGGGCAATCCGGACGGCAATCCGAACGGCAATCCGGACGCTCGGGATCAAAGCGATGCGATCGCGGCCACCAGATTACAACCGGCTAAGTCAACACCGCGCTCTGCTGCCTCGCCTGGGAGAGAGCGCCGCGCGAGCGCCGCCCGGGCACACGCGGCGAGAAGTGGCGGGGCGGGGCGGCGTCCTCCCGAGTACGTATCGATGTCACCCTTCGACAACACCCGATATGCATGACCACCCTTATAATATTGAGATAGATACCCGATTAAAAACTAATACCCATCACTGCTGTGTGGCCGTCTTTGTTGTTTTAATAAATCTCTTCATCATAAGACAAAAACTTAATTGCAAATGAACTAATGCAGAGAAACTGAATATACCGAGTTTCGTGCATATTTCCGGCTCTTACGAGAAATAAAAAGACAGTTGTCGAGTGCTGCGGAGGTGCTCTGGTGTTGTGTGTCCGCGGCCCCACCCCTGCCAACCCGATTCAGACCAGATCCTGTCGGTAAATACGACAGCCCCTCTCTGTACGTACGGCCCCTGCGCGGGAAGGTCTTGCGCCGGTCTGCGCCGCTCTGCGCCCGCGGGGACGCCGAGTAAAGCGATTTCAATTCTGTTTGCAGGGAAAACAGGCAGCGTGCGCGCGCGGTTCTGCTTTGCGCAGCTTTAGAAGGGAGGCGCCAGTCCGAGAGGCGTCCTCATCAAGTCACCGCCACGCCACGCCCCGGGGCAATGGCTGTGTCACAGGCAGCGCGTGACCGCCCTTTTGGAACCGCTGGAGGGCATGATGTACTGCCTTATTCTCCGAAACAAAAAAATTGCACAACTGTTTCTCTTTTAGGGACGGTGAGAGTTTCGTGGCAGCGCGAAGCTTTCAATCATGTTCAAAGAAAGACTAGAGAGGCGGTGCAGAGAGAGAGAGAGAGAGAGAGAGAGAGAGAGAGAGAGAGAGAGAGAGAGAGAGAGCGGTGGCTTACTCTTTGTGTAATCGGAAAGACAAACAGCTGACAATGAATATGAGAGAAAAGCGCGCGAGAGCGAGAGAGTGAGCGAATAAAGACTTTGCTTGCTCTGAGCATCGCGCTGCCCGGCGGGCTGGCTTCGCGCTGGCCCCTCTGCGTCTTGCCCCGCGGCCATGCGCGGCTCGGTGACGAGGCTCCCACGGGCTGCTGACGCTCGGGGTCGGCGAGGAGGCGGGGAGCGACCTGTGACATGGTGCGTCTGTCACACTCGGTCACACCAATGTGAAACCTAGGTCACTCTACGTTTTACAGTGATTGTACGCTACATCTCAAATCATAGGGATCATGCAAAACAAAACTCGCATTCAATGTGGTAAAAGTTAATTGATCAAATATTACCCGTATAGTAAAAATAAGTGCGAGATCTTTGTTTCGAATTTCAACTCTACCCTGGATAAACAATTAATAAAAGACCGATAGATCTATGAGGGTGTAATAATTTTTGTTATACGTTTGCAGAGGCATATAACAATTTCTTTCAGTCGGTCTGTTGTTTTTCCGGTATAATAATGATTATCGAATCCTTCAGTAGTAATGATTGAAAAAACTTGCAACAAGTGGGTTCGTCGAATGTGTGTAACTTAAATCTTTTTTGACATTTTCATTAAACCGAGGCTTTGCGAGTGTGAGATCACTTTTAATCTATCTTTTGCAAATGCGATTTTGTATGCAATTTGATTGCAGTTTCTTTAATGCATAAGATTTTCATTTCAACTGGATACGATTTTTTAGATGGAGAATGGGCCGAGACAGAAAATTTCTTCGTTGAGAATGCATTGAAAGGTAATAGGAAATTGCTAGAGCAACATAGTGGGTCAAAATTTAGCTCTAATCAAGAAACGGTCTTTTTGGGCGCAGTTGGTCGAAGGCTGCCTCTAATCCTCGGAATTATTTGTCCCGTAATGCGATGATTCGGTCCCGGCCGCCGGACCGCCCGCGAGGCGCGCGGAGCTCGCGTGGGGCAGCAGCGGCATCGCTTCTGCAGATCGAATGACCGAGGGGGAGTGTCCCGCGGGCGGTGCCACTTGCTCGCTATAAGTGGTGTTGATAGGCGGGGCGGGGCGGGCGGCCAGCACGACGAGGAGGAGTTTAAAATCAACTCGAAAGAGATTAGCGCGGCGCTGAGCCGCCCGCTGTATGCGGAGAGGGGGCGGAGGGGGAGGCCTGCTTGGGGATTTATTTAATTTATAGCCGATGATCGGCACAGGCGGCGCCGCGGCTGCATGTGGATGTGGATGCAGATGCTTGTGTGCACTGGAAACCCAAAGCGTTCGAATGTTGCACACTACTTGTTGTAGGTGCGTGATGGCCAACACACAGAGGCACAAGTGCGTGAATTTTCAAAGAAAAGTTCATACAGCGACTTTCTTAGTTGTACGAATGGATATTTAATCACCTACAAGTGTGCGGTATGAGAGATGAGCCTAGTAAGAAGAAGGAAAGAAGATGGTGGCGTAGCGTAGCGCGCACCCATAACAAAGCGACATAACCTGGTCACAAAACCCTTCCAAATGGAGGTTTGGGAGCTGTTATCGGATATATTTCTGTTGATTGTACGCTAGTAAAGATTTAAATGTAATTTGAAAGACACTACACTGTAAAAAATGTTGGGAATTCTACTATACGCATGTATAGGAAATTTCCTATACATCGTATCGGAAGTGAAAATTCCTATAAATGTATAGGAATTTTTCTATTTGGGAAGATGTGTATGGGAAAAGTACCAAGTGTATAGGCAAATCCCTAGAAATGTATGGGAAAATTCCGATACGTGTCTGGTG